TGTTTGAGCTCACTGTTGCACCCACTGTATCAATACATTGTTTGGAAGATCTTGCTCTAATTCCCCGAGCCTCTACTTTTTTAGGGAGTGTTTGCTTCTGATGCATGTCCAAAGTGTGTGAGATGAAGTCTCACCATCTTCTCTTCTAAGTAGCATTCTGGCAATACTTCTTCCAAGATGGATTTGTTTGTTCTGCTGACAGTATATGGTATGTTCAATATTGTTCATAAGCACTATAATTCAAATACATTGATCCTTCTTCAGGCTTCTTTATTCAATATCCAACTTTCACATGCATATAAGGTGATTGAAAATACCATGGCTTGGGTCAGGTACACGTTAGTCTTCAGAGTGACATCTTTGCTCTTGAATACTTGAAAGAGTTCTTGTGCAGCAGATTTGCCCAGTAGGTCCTTGGATTTCTTGACGGTTTCTTCCATGATCATGGATTCAAGCAAGATGAAATCCTTGACAACTTTACTCTTTTCACCATTTTAGCATGATGTTATTTATTGGTCCAGTTGTGGAGGTTTTTTGGGTTTTTTTCTTTATATTGAGTTGTAATCCATACTGTAGACTACAGGCCTTGATCTTTATTAGCAAGTACTTCAAGTTTTCCTTGCTTGCAGCAAGCAAGGTCGTGTCATCTGCATATGCATGTCGCAGGTCTGTAGTAACCTTTCCTCTGATCTTGATGTGACATTCTTCTTCATTTAGTCTGGCTTCTCAGATTATTTGCTCAGCATACAAATTGACTAAATATAATGTAAAACACTATCATGATGCACACTTTTCCTGATTTTAAAGCACACAGCATTTGTTTGTCCTATTAGAATGACTTCTCTTAGGCCATGCAGGGGTTACAAATGAATGCAATGAAGTGTTCTTAAAGTCTTATTCTTCTCAATTTTATCCATAGTTTATTATGATCAACACAGTCAAATGTCTTTGCGTAGTCAATGAAACACAAATAAATAGCTTTTTGGTATTCTGTGTTTTCAGTGAAGATTCATCTGATTTTGGAAATGATATCCCTCAATCCATGACCTCTTCTGAATCCATCTTGCATTTATGGCAGCTCCCTGTTGATGTATTGCAAACATTTTTACATGTTCTTCAGCAGAATTTGCTTGCATGTAATATTGATACACCTTGAGAATTTCCACATACTGTTGGGTCACTTTTTTTGGAGGTGGTAAAAATATGAATTTCTTACAGTCAGTTGGCCAGGTAGCTACCTTCCCAATGCTTCTAGTGCTTCATCAGCTTGTTGAAACATTTCAATTGATATTCTATCAATTCCTGGAGATTTCGTTTTCACTAATGCTTCCAGTATGACTTGAACTTCCTCTAGTACAACTGGCTCTTGCTTATATGCTACTGTTTGAAATTATTGAATGCCAACTACTTTTTGGTACAATAACTCTTTATTCCTTCCATCTTCTTTTGATGTTTTTGGCATCATTCAACATTTTTCCCATCGAATCTTTCAATATTATAACACTAAGCTTGAATTTTTTCTTTGGTTCTTTCAGCTTCATATATGCTGAGTATGTCCTTAGTTTTTGGTTTTCTAACTCTAGGTCTTTGGACAATTCATTATAATACTTTGTCTTCTATTGCTGTCCTTTGAAAATTTCTACTACTTTCTTTGATTTCATTATTTCTTCCATTTACTTCAGTAAATATGTGATCAGGGGCAAGTTTTAGAGTCTATTCTGACATCCATTTTGATTATTTTTCATATCTGTCTTTTAAATGACCTTTTACTTTCTTTGGTGTAGTGGTTATGCTATTGACTGTAATCTGAAAGGTCAGCAGTTCGAAACTATTGTCACTCAGAGGGAGAAAGACTGGGATTTCTACTACTGTAAAGACTTACAGTCTTGGAAAGCCACAGGGGCAATTCTACCCTGTCCTGTATGGTCACTATGAATCAGAATTAACTCAATGGCAGTGAGTTTGTTTAGAGTTTACTTTCTTCATGTATTATATTCTTGATGTCACCCCACAGGTCACCAGGTCTTCTGTCAGTGTTCAGTGAGTCAAATCTATTCATGAGATGTTCTCATAATTCAGGTAGAATACACATTCAAGGTCATATTTTGGCTCTCTTGGGGTTTAAATTTTAGTCTTCAATATCAACATACATATGATCAATTAATGGTTCATTCTAGTGTCAGTCCTAGGCCTCATTTTGGCTATTGATACTGAGTGTCTCCATCTTTTCTCTCCATACCTGTAGTCTATGATTCTTGAGCCTTCCACCTCTAGAATTCCACATGCATCGTTGCCATTTATGTTGTTGAAAAAGGTATTTGCAATGAAGAAGTTGCTGGTCTTGTAAATGTCTATAATACATTCTCTAATTTAGTTTCTATCATAAGGTCATGGTTTCCAACTACTCTTCCTTCCAACTTTTGCATTCCAATCACCACTAATTATCAGTGCATCTTGAGTGCATGCTTGGACAATGTCAGATTGAAGAAATTAATAAAATTCTTCAATTTCTTCATCACTACCTTTAGTTTTGGTGGTGTAGTGATTACCAGTTGGGCTGCTTAACCCCAAGGTTAGCCATTTGACAAGGAAAAGATGAGGCTTTCTGCTCCCATAAAGAGTTACAGTCTTGGAAACCACAGGCACAGTTCTAACCCTTCATATAGGGTCACTATGAATAGTAATCAACTTCATGCAGTGGTATTTGATCTTTGATGAACATTTGAATAATAGTTGAATTATGGCTTAATTGTAGTTGCTTAAATATATTGGCCAGATGTATTTTATGCAGTAAATTAATGTATATGAAATCTCAAGCAATTATTGACAAACTAATTTGTATGAATATATTAAAAAAGAAATATCACAACATATGGTCAATTAGGCTTAACTAAAGTTAAATAAGCTATTTCAAGTAGTGTTTACATTTGAGAAGTGTTGTTCTGATAACTTATGAACATGGTATATCAAAGTCTATTTTTTTATAAATTAATTGTGTATTACAAAGTAAGTTACAAATAATGATCTTTACCTATATTTTATTTATATTGGTTTATTAGTATTCACATAGTTCTTTATATGTTTAAAATTTTGGTGATAAAAGTTCTGGGAAAGTGCTCCCCCAGCAAGCTATTTGAATTAATAATGGGAAAGAGCAAACCTATATAAACAAAAGATTCTGTTGATTTTTCAAAGAATTAATTTAAAATTTTCATATTGAGAAACATTTTGCTACATTTGATTTTACTAGGAGTTAGAAAGAGGCATCTAGTACTGCTTTGGGGTAAAATAACAGAAATTGGAGCCAAACTGTCTTCATTCAAATCCCAACTATATCACCTACAAATACAGGACCATAAATTAGTTACTTATTTCTTTATTTTTTGAAAAATAAATTTACTGAGAAGACTATATGAGCTGTGTATATAACACTGCCTAGAATAATTCTTGGTATATAGTCAATATGTTGTAAGGCTTAGATGTTAATAGCAGACATATGTTGGACAGCTACCAGATGCATGCAATTTAGTAGGTTTATAGGAATTATAAATAAATTTTACTCATATTCTGCTCCATCATACTTTTCTTATTTTCAATTTTTCAGTATTTGATGTCCAAAATGATGTGCCTTTTTTCCCCTTCTGTTTACGAGTAGGTAGAAAGATAATCATAGCGTAATTTAGCATAGACAATCTTTGTAAGATAGAGAGGGGGTGCATAAAGATGATATCAAAGAGGAATTTCTCTGGTTTGGAGTTAAATTGTCTCTCTGATACTTTTGAATTGTTGTTGTTGTTTTAAAATTTTTCTCCTCATCTATTTTCCAGACTAAAATCATTATGGAAAAAAATATTGGGCAATGAGAAAATTGAATAATTACCTTATCACTACAATGGATTCCTCGGTGGAAAACAGCATGTATGTAAACAAAGTGTGGGTTCAATGTGAGAAGGAAAATTGTTTGAAATGGAGATTGTTGTCAAGTGAGGATGCAGCCAAAGTTGATCACAGCGAACCATGGTACTGCTTCATGAACACGGACTCAAGATACAATAAGTGCTCCGTTTCTGAAGAAGACTTTCCTGAAGAATCTCAGCTTCATCAAAATGGATTTAGGATCGTCTATTCACAGCTCCCTCTTGGAAGCCTGGTTTTGGCAAAATTATGTAATTGGCCAAGGTAAGGATTCCATTGTAGTCTTACAGTAAATTTTGAGGTGTAGTCTTGCTGTTTTATGCATTTTATTTTTAGCTAAC